ATAAAATATTAGCCCCATGTGGTAGTATGCACTTTTGGTCCCATCTACTCAGGAGGCTGAGCCTGTGAATTGCCTGAGTCTGGGAGGTCAAGTCTGCAGTGAACCATGGTTGAGCCACTACACTCCAGCCTGGGCAACATAGTGAGATCCTATCTCAAAAAATAAAAGTTGGGGGCCAGGTGCAGTGCCTCACACCTATAATTCCAGTATTCTGGGAGGCCAAGGTAGGCAGATGGATCACTTGAGGCCAGGAGTTTGAGACTAGCCTGACCAACATGGTGAAACCCCATCTCTACTAAAAAAAAAAAAACAACAACAACCAAAAATTAGCTCAGTATGGTAGTGCACACCTGTAATCCCAGCTACTCAGGAGACTGAGGCAAGAGAATCACTCGAACCCAGGATACTGAGGTTGCATTGGGCTGAGATCATGCCACTGTACTCCAGCCTGGGTGACAGAGTGAGACTGTCTCAAAAAAAAAAAGTTGGATTCATCATTTTTGGCTTCTTTGCCACTTCCTCAGAACAAGATTGTAAAGGAGCTTCCAGAGAGCACCCACTGCTTTATGTGTGCTTGGTACACAGAATTCTAAGATGGCTTCTAATACCTGGAACTATGAATATGATGAACTGTCACACCCATGATTATGTTACCTTGTGTGGCAAACAGGATTTTGAAGACATAATTAAGGTTACAATAAGTTGATTTTGAATTAATCAGAAGGGGAATGATCTGAGTGGACCTAATGTAATCACATGAGACTTTGAAAAACAAAATTGGAGCGTTTCAGGCTGGTCTTAGAAGGGAAAATCAGAGACAGTAGAAGCGTGAGAGGGATTTGACTTGAGGGAAGTTCTCTGTGGCTAAGATGGAAGAGGTCACTATGCTAGGACCTGAGAAGGTCTTCTAGAGCTAATAGTAGTTCCTGGCTGACAACAGGACAATAGGGAACTGAAACTATGACTTCAAGGAACTGGATTCTGCAAACTAATGAGTAAGTGTTGTTTTAAGCCACTAAATTCGTGGTGGTTTATTGCATAGCAAAATAACATGAATACAGGTGCTTTGTACCTGATAGATTGAATTAGTGGCTCCTTTCCTTAGTGTATATTTAAAAACTGAAGTAAAATGAAAATATGTTGAAATGTATATAGATCTCAAGTGTACAATTTGATTTTTGGTAAATGTGTATACCCATGTAATCACTACCAGAATTGAGATGTAGAATATTTCCATCAGCCCCAAAGCTCCCTTGAGCACCTTTGCCATTAATCCCACCCTCTAGGGCGAATTCTTAACATCATTAATTCGAATTGCCTGTTCTTGAGCTTCATTTAAATGGCATCACATAGGCTGGGCATGATGGCTTATGCCTATAATTCCAGCACTTTGGGAGGGCAGAGGCGGGAAGATCACTTGCCTCCAGGAGTTCGAGACAAGCCTGGGGAACAAAGCGAGACCTCCTCTCTACAAAAAATGTAAAATTAGCTGGATGTGGTGGTGGCATGCACCTGTAGTCCCAGCTACTGGGGAGGCTGAGGTGGGAGGATCATTTGAGCCTGGGAGGTAAAGGCTGCAGTGAACCATGATCGTGCCACTGCACTAGGCTTAGGTGACAGAGTGAGACCCCATCTGAAAAAGAAAAATGGCATTATATAGCATGCATTTCTTTGTGTCTGGCTTCTTTTGCACAGCATAATGTTTTCAAGATTCATCTTTTTTTTTTTTTTTTTTTTAGACAGGGTCTCGTTCTGTTGTGCAGGCTGCAGTGCTGTAGTATGATTATAGCTCACTGCAGCTTTGAACTCCTGGTCTCAAGCAGATTCTTCCACCTTGGCCTCCTAAAGTGCTAGAATTGCAGGTATGGGCCATGGCGCTGGCCCATTCATTTTGATTTTATCAGTAGTTTGTACCCTTTGATTGCTGATTAGTATACTGTTGCATGAATATTCCACAATTTGTTATCCATCCATCTACTGATAGACATTTGGGTTTCTAGTTTTTGGCTATTATCAATAATACTGCTATGAGCATTCATGTATAACTCTTTGTCTGGATATGTATTTTTTTTTTTTTTGAGACAGAGTTTCACTCTTGTTATCCCAGCTGGAGTGCAACGGTGCGATCTCAGCTCACCCCAACCTCTGCTTCCCAGGTTCAAGCAATTCTCCTGCCTCAGCCTCCCGAGTAGCTGGGACTACAGGTGTGCGCCACCATGCCCAGCTAGTTTTTGTGTTTTTAGTAGAGACAGGGTTTCACCATGTTGACCTCGTGATCCACCTGCCTTGGCCTCCCAAAGTGCTGGGATTATAGGCGTGAGCCACTGCGCCTGGCCAGATATGTATTTTCATTGCTCTTGGGTAAATATCTATGAGTAGGATTGCTGGATTGTATAAGTGTATATTTAACTTTATAAGAAACTGTCAACTGCTTTCTAAAGTGGGCGGGCCATTTTTTATTTTCTTTACCAATATGTGAGCGCAGTTGTTCCCCATCCTTACTTGGTATTGTCAAGTCTTTTTTTTTTTCTTTGAGACAGAGTTTTGCTCTTGTTGCCCAGTCTGGAGTGCAATGGTGCGATTTCGGCTCACCGTGACCTCTGCCTCCCAGGTTCAAGCGATTCTCCTTCCACAGCTCCCGAGTACTGGGACTATAGGCATTTACCACCACACCCAGTTAATTTTGTATTTTTAGTAGAGATGGGGTTTCTTCGTGTTGCTTAGGCTGTTCTCAAACTCCCGACCTCTGGTGATACACCTACCTTGGCCTCCCAAACTGCTGGGATTACAGGGGTGAGCCACCGTACCTGGCCTGTCATGTCTTTTAAAGTTCAGCCATTTGCAAACAATTTATTCTTGAGTACCTCTCTGTGCTTTTCAGGATAGATTATTCATCAAATACCCACCATATAGAATGTTTTCCAACTCTTTCTATCATTTCAGTACTACCTATGCTTCAGGTCACTGTTTCCTAATAGGGAATATATGTGAGAATCATTTGAGAGTTTTTCAGAATATACAAGCCCAAGTCTCACTACAGGCATGTCGTATCAGCTTTTCCAGGGATGGTATATATACCTATGTATGTTGAAAAGGTTCCCTAGGTGATTCTGATGTGTATCCTTTGCTAAAATCCATTGATTTAGCCCCAGGCCTTACCTATTACCTCCATCCTGGCTATAGGTTAGTATTGTCTGGGAAGGTCTGGGTCCCTCTCCAGACCAATTATATTGGAATTTGTGGGTGGAGTCTGAGCATCAGTTGTTCTTTTAAAAAATTCCCCAGTTATTCCAATATGTAGCCATAATTCCCATTAGATTTCTCTGACTTTTTGTGACATTTACACCTTTCTTTTCTGGTATTATGATTATTTTTCAGGTCTTATCTCATGTCTTGGGCTTTATATTCCTTGGGGTAGGAACATTGCATTTTTAATTTCCATATCTTTTGTGAACACATGAATTGGTCATCAGGAAGAGATTTTCAGCCACACATAGGTTGTGTCCTGGGTCTCAAGTTCACATGTTAATGTTACAGTCTTTGTTCTCCACAAGGTCAGAGGTTGCTTGTGATGAAGGTTGTGGGTAACTCCACATTACAGATAGTAGATGGAGGTCATCCTGTTTGGTATGCTTTTAGGTGTAGAATTGGAACTAAGAATTCTATGTGTGTTGGTGGAGAGGCAAGGATATATAGGGAGACAGATCTAATTAGGATTGCGAAATTATACAAGGAAGTATCGGTAAAGGAAGGAAGACACTTCTCTTTAGAAGACGTTTGAACTTATCTAATAGGCCAGAGTAAGCCACTGTAGATTTTTGAATAGGAGAGTGGACTTGTTTTTAGGAAGGTAATGAGGCAGCCATATGCAAGACAAGAAGTCAACCAAGACTTTGAGTGTTGTTGAGGGCAGAAGGGTCAGTTAGGTTTATGGGAATGGTGAGAACAGCATAATTGAGAGTTGTTAAAAAAAGAACAAGAGGCTTTCACAATGTATTGAATCTGGAAACAAATGAGCAGGGGCTGTGGATACTTAGGGGCTGTCACTGGGAGAAATGAGTGAGCTGTGTGGAAGAGTTTGTTTAAATGGGTGACTTCAGACAGTATTTGGATGTGGGTGTCATGAGTTCTACAAGTAGTTGGGGCTAGAGATATAAATTAAGAGCCATCTCCAGAGAGATCACTAAGCTGATGAAAGAGGGTGGATGAAGGGAGACAAGAAGGGTCTGAGTACTACATCTGGTTTGGGGATACAGTATATAAGCGGGAGATGGAGGGAGGAGAGCTCTCCAGAAGGGAAAATTTGTCTGTGATCTTAGATTCTGTAAAAGGAAAAAGTATGAGTATTATAAAAATACCTTTGTATTTCACCAAGACATGGATACTGATTTTGTGCTGTTTCCAGTGATCTTGGGTATGGAGGCAGTGCAGAGGGCCAGGAAAAATTAGGTGATGATGAAAGGGAAAGACAGCACATACATTTCAATTGCTTGGAAGTGAAAGAAATGAGGTTATAGGTTAATATTTAGCAGAATTAATAAATGAAGGCTATTTAGGTTAGACGAGATCTGATCCTTCAAGAGGGCAGAAAAAAGGACTGGGAACCAGGAAGAGGCAGAAGGTCTAGAGAGATTTCTGTGTGAATAAACCTTGGAGACCCTTGCATAGCTATATCTGATTCACTGGAACCGCCTGAGTGGGAAGCGTTATTGGCCCCTAATGAAGAGGCTGGGAAGCCTTTTACTCATGAGATCATCTTCTCTCCCAGAGGAAGTTAGGCACTTCCTTCCAGGCAAGTTGGAGCTGTGGTCTGTTGCTCCCAGATATACTCATTTTATTGGCAGGTATGCAAATGAATTTAGCAAATTCTCTGGTCAAATAGAACAAATATCTGTAGACTTAGAAATAGTTTTACTCTGACTCCCCCTTGAACAATTTTGTTTTTTTTTCTGTCTGTAGAGAAACATTGTCTAAGGTAGTATCAACCATGAGGCAGCATGTTGATGTCTGATATATTATTTTTATTATAAACATAGAACAATTTTTATATATAATTCAGACATAGTCTTAGCCAGACAAAATTAAATAACAGCAGAGCATGGATGAGGAAAGTATGCACAGTCTGTGTCAGGGTTAGAAAACCCCGAAAGAGGTACCTGAGTATACAGCACTCTGAGCCAATCCTCTTTGAAAAAGTCTCTTAGGCCTGCCATGAGATCAGGTAGGCAATATAGAATAAAACCTTTCTCTTAGCCCCAGAGACATTCCATCTGTGTAGAAGACTGGGCGAGAAGTACATTTGCCTGTCTTCCTCCTATCCTTCCTTTTTATTTATAGACCCCGTAGGAGAAAATAAATTTCAAAGGCTGTTAAAAAAGGCTAGGCTCAAGTTATAAACCTCCTCCTCACAGCCCTGTTCCCCCAAGGGGCATCAGCACCAATGCAGCTTTCTAGTTGTAAACAATGCCACCAGCATGAGTGATAGTGTCCCTGTAGGGTGTTCCCACTTCTCAAGGACCAAATACACCTTAGCAGAGTCCAAGGTTTCCTGAGAAAGTGAGTGGAGACAGACAGAAAATGCACAGGTGCAAACATGGAATAGAATGGGAGTTGATGATTGGTCTGAGGTACCTAGAAACTGAGTTAAATCTAGTTCTAATTATGAATGAGGAAAACCTTTTCTTATTTTCTATTTGGAGCCTCTGACAAAAAACCTTGAGAAACTCCTGACCAAGGGACCTGAGGGATTTTGGTGGCTTCTTTCACCTAAGGCAATCAGATTGGCCTACATAGCTAAGCTAAGTAAAAATAATCCTTTTCACATAAACAGTTATAAAAATTAAAACAGTGGAATGTCTCAGAGAAAAGGAAAAAAACCCTAATACCCCAAATTGTGTATTCTTTAACAGTAATTTAAATAATCTCTGAAGGGCAGGTCTCTGATTCCTTTCCCAAGTTCCTAGCAGATTGTGTTTATCAGAAGCTCGTTCCCTCCTAGAGCTATAACCCCTCCCTCTCTCAGCACTTCCTTGAATAAAGCCCATAAAGATAATAAAACATATCTGCGCTTTTGCATTTGCCACCAGGAATTGCCTTGGAGTTTGGCAAGTGGTTTTCCTAGTTGCTTCTAGTGGATTCCCAGAAGACAGGCTTGCCAGAAGGATTAGGTGGCATTCTAGCTAAGCAGCAAGGTGCTTAGACTCTGATCCTACAGGTAGAAACCCTGACAGTGGACAAAGGTGTGGAATTTCACTATTGTTACAGATTTGGTTTTCTTGTGTTTGGTGAGTTCACACAGGGCTTTGGAGAAATGGGAGAAGCCATTACTGCTTTTACTTTCTCTCTCTCTTGTTTGCTGGCACATGTACTTCATGGAAAAGGATGGAACCTCAAAGCTATGGCAAACCCAAATTACAGTGATAGGACAGGACTGGGGTGGGAAGGAATGAGTGCTCTGAATAGGTAAGTTTAAAACAAGTCCAGGTTTGGAAAAGGGGAAGGCAGGGGAAGTTCTGGCCACTCTTTATCAAAGTCAGCTTTGCCAAATTTCAATGACAAGAAGGTTTCGTTTCCTACAGACTCCCAATGTACCTTCTCATCTATCGACACTGAGGGAGGGGCTGTGACCAGGCAGCCTGGAGGTGCCTATTAGTAAGGAAGAGTCGGGGACACTTCTTTCTGTCCCCAGCCTCCCTACCACTCCCAGAGGGGAAGGGAATCTCCTGGTGATGAGGGTAAGAGACTTGGAATACATCAGCATGCAGTGAGCAGGACAGGTTGCATTACTTCTTTTTTACTTCTGAATAAATTATGTCTGTGGTTGTTGGGGATGAGGAGGCTGACGTTGGTTGTCTGGGTTGCTGGGCTGTGAAGTTCAGGGAAGAGTAAGTAACTTCCTTCATCTGAAAAGCACAAGTAATGATCAGTTAAGTCAGTGTCTCAGGGCAGGGCCTCACCTTGCCTGGTGTGATTCAGCACCATGAGCTGTTACCATTTTGAAATTTTAGCTCTAGAGAAGGGATTTTGTTGTTACCCATTTTCTGCCTGCTGACCTCCTGATGAATGATCATTAGAAGAGATAAATGATGGTATATAGGCAATGGAATACGATAATGCAGCAATGAGAACAAGCAGACCACAAATACATACAACAATATAGACAAATCTCACAAAACAGTGTTGATGGAAAGAAGCTACATATAAGGATGTTGTATTTTTCCTTTATGTAGGAACAAAACCAAGGAAAACTAATCTGGAGCATTAGAAGTCAGGATAGTGGTTACTCTTTGGAGGGAAGTGACTGGAAGAGTTTCTATTTTTCTTTTTTTTTTTTTTGAGACGGAGTGTCTTTCTGTCACCCAGGCTGGAGTGCAATGGCATGATCTGGGCTCATTGCACCCCATACCTCCCAGGTTCAAGCGATTCTCCTGTCTCAGCCTTTCAAGTAACTGGGATTACAGGTGTCCATCACCACGCATGGCTAATTTTTTATATTTTTAGTAGAGACGAGGTTTCAACATGTTGACCAGGCTTGTTTCGAACTCCTGACCTCAAGTGATCTGCCCACCTTGGCCTCCCAAAGTGTTAGCCACTGTGCCTCGCCGGAAGGGTTTCTTTTTAAGGGGAGGTCATGTAGTATTTCAGGTCATGTAGTATTTCATGATTTGGGTGCTGCTTACCTTGGTGTGTTCAATTTGTGAAAGTTTCTACATTGTAAAAGTATAATTATGATTTAGCACTTTTCAGTATGTGTGTTTGCTCTACTGTAAAGGTAAAATGAAAAATTCTATAAAATTATTATAAAATAAACAGGATCTCAGATCTATTAAAATGGAAATTATCCTTTTGACAGTAAGAGCAGGATCAAACTGCAGGTAGGGGAGTGAGAATGATTCAGTGCCTTCCCTTTTTAGGCCAGTGTGCTGGGTGCTCTATGCAAGTTATCTTGTTTAATACCTTCGACTTCTCTTTGAAGTAAGCAGAATGCCCATTTTACAGATGACAAAGCTGAGGATCAAAGAGATTAGGTTACTTGACCAGAGTCACAGAGCTACTAAGAGTCACATCCAGTATTCAGACACAGGATGGAGATAATTCCAAAATGCACATTCTTGCTGTGAATGGGAGTGATTGGAAATACATCTTTGTTGCTGCACTGAGGAACATTAATCCAAACTTGATGTTACATTGTGTTTTCAGGAATAACCAATTCTATACAGAGTCATTTCCATGAGAAAATAAGCCCAGGAAAACTGGCTGTGCTTACCTTGTTAGGAGAGTTGTCAGAGTGGTCCTGAGCTGGAGAAGCAAAAGAAGAGTTATCAATCCAAGGAAATGCAAAGCTGACTTAAGGTGATTCTAGCTGAAGGAGGTGGCAGTTGGAGGGTAGGGAGGTAGCCCATGATCAGTTGAGGAATTTACTTCCCTCAGAGTGTCTGGTCCAGACCCAGCACATTAGTACCAGAGGACGGGGAGGGGCAGAGCCACAGGAGGCCACAATCCACTTCTGAAGAGTTATACCAGTTCACAAGGCCTTGATTTTTGCCCAGACGTGTTTCTCAGCAACATGCTCCAATGGCAAGGAGGGGCATTGAGGCTTGCAGCACCCACAGCACCCACAAGATAAGGAAAGTCTCACCAAGGGAGAATGCCCACATCCGTAATAGAGGCAGGAGGCAGAAGGAGTAAGGCTGAGGAAATGGCTCCTGGAAACATGGGTTCTTCCTCAGGCCTGCCTGGCCTAGGCAGATTGAGCTTCTCTCCTCAGATGTGTCTCAGGGGACTCTGGTGGCTAGAAAGGGTGTGAAGACCTATGCCACCTTAGGGGTGGAAAATAGACATCCTTTCGTGAAAATTCAGAAGGGAGGGAGTGGTTTGGGAATCCAGGATTCCCTTCGAGGGGAGGGCACGTGGTGGAACATACCAGTTCTCACTGGGTAAGTAGCTTTACTTACTGTGGTTGGAGTCTGAGAGTTTGTGCTCTGTGAGATCACGTTGGTCGCTTGCCCTAAATAAATATCAGACACTGTGACTGCTGTTCCCAAGCACAGGATCTTTGTTCCCTGAGTTAGGAAGGGCACTGTGAGCAGGTCATTCCTTGGGGTCCTTGGTGTTGATACTGCCTTTCTTCTGAGGGCCTCGTTCTTCAGTCTAACCGCAATCCCTTCTAGTGTTTCCTCTTTTCCTGTTTGCTAGATATTCACATTTCATTCCATTCTTTATCAGCTGCTTCTCTGCCTACTTGTACCCTTAAGACCTTTCCCATTTTGTTTTCTGGGGTACTTTTTTCCCCCTATTTATTGTTCAAGAGGACTGTGGTTGTTTTTGCTTTCTCTTAGGTTCTCTTCCTATCCTATCTCTCCTCCTCTTGCTACTGTGGTCAACAGAGCACGTGGCTTGCTTTCTCCTGCTGCTGCTTTTATTTTTTCATTTGTATTCCTTCTTAGACCTTGGTTTCTATGACTGGGGGACAGAGTAACATAATTGAGTCTCTTCCTCTAGATTAGATGGGGATTGGAATAGCCATGTCCAAGAGACAATGGGAGACAGGGAGCATGAAGACCAGGGAAGAGGAGACCTGCAGGAATTAGTGCCCAGAAGCAAGAGTTAAGTGGGAGGAGGAGATCCAGGCCCAGAGACAGGCAAAGAAGTTCTTTTCCTCTCCCAAGCATGGCAGTCAGCCTTGGAGGAAACAGAACAAGAGGAAAGGTCATCATACCTGCCAGTCTTCCTGGAATGCTGAAAATACACCACTAGGCCTGCTATCAGAGCCACCCCTGCCAGTACTCCAATCACAATGCCAGCAATGGCCCCCCCTGAGAGGCCAGAACTTTCCATATCTGTCATGGAAAGAAAAGAGGAGAAGAAGTGAAGGTGAAATTATTTTACATTGGGGGCTGGAAACAATTCTCAGAATGAAGTTGTTTCTAATTGCTCCTTCAAGGAATACAGTTTTGTTGTAGGAGGGTTGCTGGAAGATGATTAGCTAATTATATCCTTGCAATTTTTTTGTTTTTCTGTCAACCATGTTTCTAGGTTGATGATCAGTCTTCTGTCAATTCCATCCTGGCCTTTCTGCGCTCAGACATTTTTGAAGATTTTGAAATGTGAGAAAGGCTGATTGCTATTTTGTATGTGACTAGAACTTTCCACCTTTTTTTGTGGTTGCATCTTTTTCTCAGTGTCTCAGTTGTGGCAGTCAGTGTATTCTGAATTCAGCACCTCTTTTGCATAGACACCTCGTTTCCCACAGGCTCCCAGCAAGGGTATGAAAGCAAGCCCAGTTCTGTGTGACTGTTTTACTCTGAAATGTGAATGGCTGGAGGACCCCCTGTCAACCTTGCAGAAACTCTTAGAACTTTACTGCCGTCTAAAACTTCCTTTGTCTCTTTTTCTTCCACAGGAATCAGATCTGCATCATGGTCCGAGGACTCTCTCAGGTTCCTCTCACTCTCGCCTCACTTTCCCTAATAGGCATTTCCCCCAATAAATTATCTCGTATGTTTAATCCCATCTTTGCTGTATCTCAGTGGATGGAAATGACGTACCAGGTTTGAGACTTCGCTTTAATTCCCCTTTTCTCCCCTTTCCCATATTTAATCATAATCATGTACTGGTGGGTTTCTTGTATAATGCTTCTCCTCCATATGTATATATTATTATTAATGTATATATAATGTATATATTAATGTATAATAAATATATAAATAATATATAATAAAAATACATGAAAATATAAAAATTTGTATAACAAATATATAAATAATATATTTTGCATCTATTTCTTCTTTTCTTTTTGAGGCAGGTTCTCACTTTGTCACCAAGGCTGGAGTGCAGTGGCACAATCATGGCTCATTGTAGCCTCTTGGGATCAAGTGATCCTCCTACCTCAGTCTCCTCAGTAGCTGGGACTACAGGCACATGCCACCACGCCTGGCTAATTTTTTTTTTAGACAGAGTTTCACTCTTGTTGCCCAGGCTGGAGTGCAACGGTGCAATCTGGGCTCACCACAACCTCTGCGTCCAAGGTTCAAGTGATTCTCCTGCCTAGCCTCTCAAGTAGCTGGGATTACAGGCATGCACCACCATGCCTGGCTAATTTTGTATTTTTAGTAGAGATTGGGTTTCTCCATGTTGGTCAGTCTTTTCTCGAACTCCCAGCCTCAGGTGATCCGTCTGCCTCGGCCTCCCAAAGTGCTGGGATTACAGGCATGAGTCATGGCACCCAGCCACCTGGTTAATTTTCAAAAATAATTTTTGTAGAGATAGGGTTCCACTATATTGCCCAGGCTGGTCTTGGATTCCTGGGCTCAAGAGATCCTCCAGCCTCGGCCTCCCAAGTGTCGGGATTACAGGTGAGAGCCACTGTGTCCAGCCTATTTCTTCTTTATATCTATTGTAACCATTTGGGGCTTAGCCCTCACCAGTCAACTCAGGCTGGTGATTAATGCTGTTAGCTACTTTTGTGGGGTATTTTCTGTGTGCCAGTCCCTGTACTGCTAAATGCTTTACATGTATCTCATTTGATCCGTAAAATAGTGCTGTCAGGTACACATTATTTCCATTTTAAACATGAAACAATGGAACCTTAGAGTGGTAAAAACCTTACCAAAGTCAGATGGCCAGTGAGAGGTGGATCTGAGATTTGACTCCAGGACTACCTGATTTGAAGGCTAATGATAATAGTAGTGGTAATAGCAACTGACATTTATGAAACATTCCCTCTGTGTGTGGTTGTGTGGTATTTTGCTGAAGGTTTATTATTACAATTAAATTTTTAAAACAATACTATGGGGCTAGGTGTGGTGGCTCACACCTGTAATCCCAGCACTTTGGGAGACTGAGATGAGAGGATTGCTTGATCCTAGGAGTTGGAGTCTAGCCTGGATAATATGGTGAGATTCTGTCTCTCTGAAAGCAAAAATAAAAATAAATTAGCCAGGTGTGGTAGCATGTACTACTTAGGTGGCTAAGGTGGGAGAATTGCTTGAGCCTAGGAGGTTGAGGCTGCAGTGAGCTGTGTTTGCACCACTGCACTCCAGTTTGGGTGACAGAGTGAGACCCTGTCTCAAAAACAAAGCAAAAAACCCAAAACACCCGAAATGCTATAAAGCAGGCATTCTTAGTGCAATTTTCGGTTGAGGAATCTGAGGCTCAGAGTAGTTAAGAATCTTGTGCAAGAAAGCAATTTATAACTGTAGGCCAGGTACAGTGGCAGATGACTGTAATCCCAGCAATTTGGAAGGCCAAGGCAGATGCATCACTTGAGCTCAGGAATTTCAGACCAGCTGGGCAAGATTATAAAACCCTGTCTCTACAAAAAAATTACAAAAGTTAGCTGGAGGTGGTGGCATGTGTCTGTGGTTTCAGCTACCCAGGAGGCTGAGGCAGGAGGATAGCTTGAACCTGGCAGGTTAAGGCTGTGTTGAGCCGTGATCAGCCTTGGTGACAGAGTAAGAGCCTGTCTGAAACAACAAAAAAAGTTGTTCTTTAAAAAAGACCACTATAATTGACAACTTTTAACTAGACTGACTAACAAAGAAAGAAGATTCAAATTACTAAAATCAGAAATGAAAGTGAAAATATGACTACTAATTCTATAGAAATAATAAGGATTATAAGAGTACTATGAGTAATTGTATGCCAACAAATTGGATAACCTGGATGAAATGAACAAATTCCTAGAAACACAAAACCTGCCATGATAGAATCATGAATAAATAGAAAATCTGAATAGACCTATAACCAGTAATGAAAATGAATCGGTAAAAGCATTTAACAAAATTCAACATTCTTGAGCCGGGTGCAGTGGCTCATGCCTGTAATCCCAGCACTTGGGGAGGCTGAGGCGGGTGGATCATGAGGTCTGGAGATCGAGACGATGCTGGCTAACATGGTGAAACCCCATCTTTACTAAAAATACAAAAAATTAGCTGGCGTGGTGGTGGGCGCCTGTAATCCCAGCTACTCAGAAGGCTGAGGCAGGAGAATTGCTTGAACCCGGGAGGCGGACGTTGCAGTGAGCAAAGATTGTCCACTGTACTGCAGCCTGGGTGACAGAGTAAGACTCTGTCTTAAAAAGAAAAAAATTCAACATTCTTTCATGCTAAAAAAACACTGTAACTAGGAACAGAAGGAAATTCTCAACATAATAAATGCTACATATGAAAGGCCCCCAGCTACCATCACAGTCAATGGTGAAAGACTGAAAACTTTTCCTTTAAGATCAAGAACAAGACAAGGATGCCTGCTTTTGCCACTTCTATTCAACATAGTATTAGAATTCCTAGCCAGAACAATTAGGCAAGAAAAAAAACCCTCTAGATTGGAAAGAAGTAAAATTATATCTGTTTGTAGAATACACTAACTCATATGTAGAAAACCCTAAAGATTCCACAAAAGCTGTTAGACAATAAATTCAGCAAAGTGGCAGCATACAAAATCAACATGCAAAAATCAGTTGTATTTTTGTGTACTAACAATGAACAATTCAGAGGAAAGTTAAGAAAAAAAATTGCTGAAAAAATTAAATAAGACGGAGAACGATCCAAGATGGCTGATTGCTAACATCCCGGTATTGCAGCTCTCAGTGAAGGCGCAGAGAACTAGAGGACGCCACACTTTCAGACAAATTCTGGTTGCTCACGGAGCAGAAGATCCACAGTGGAGGAAACACACGGGTCGCCAGTGTGACTCTCGTGGCCGGTGCAGCGGTTCCGCTGGCACCTCAGTGCGGCAGCTCTCGGAGCAGAGTAAACAGGTTTGGAGGACCCGCACGGGTCCCCAGCACAACACCAGAGCCCGGCGCAGCGGCTGTGACGGCACCTCGGCGCAGAGTAAACGGGACTGGTTCCCCTTCTGACGAAGGTTTGGAGCCCCGGGAAGGCAGAGTCGCCTACTACAGACACAAGAAGGAAGCCCTACAGGAGAATCCTGGGAAGAAAAGTACCATCAGTTTTAATGCCGCTGCTCTGGCCCTGGGAACCAACAACCTGGACGCCCACTCAAGAGACCTAATCTGAAAGTTGGTAAATTCAAAGATGACAGGAGGATAAATTTACAATGACGGGAAGAAACCAGCGTAAAAAAGCTGAGAATACTCAAAGTCAGAACGCCTCTCCCTCTAAAGATGATCACAGTTCCACACTGACAATGGAACAAGGCTTGATGGAGAACGAGCGCATCCCAATGACAGAATCACTCTTCAAGGAATGGATAATAACAAACTTCGGTGAGTTAAAAGAACATGTTGTAGCCCAACGTAAAGAAACTAGGAACTTTGAAAAAAGGTTTGATGAAATTCTATTGAGAATAGACAACTTAGAGAGGAATATGAGTGAATTAATGGAACTGAAGAATACAATACAGGAACTCCGAGAAGTATGCACAGGTTTAAACACTCGAATTGTTCAAGCAGAAGAAGGGATATCAGAGGTCAAAGTTCAACTTAATGAAATAAAACGTGAAGAAAAGATTAGAGAAAAAAGGATAAAAAGGAATGAGCAAAGTCTCTAAGAAATGTGGGACTATGTGAAAAGATCAAATTTACGTTTGATAGGTGTACCTGAATGCGACGGAGAGAATGAATCCAAGCTGGAAAATACCCTTCAGGATATTATTCAGGAAAATTTTCCTAAACTAGCAAAGCAGGTCAATATTCAACCCCAGGTAATACAGAGAACACCACAAAGATATTCTTCAAGAAGAGCAACCCCAAGGCACATAATCGTTAGATTCACCAGGGTTGAAACGAAGGAGAAAATACTAAGGGCAGCCAGAGAGAAAGGTCAGATTACCCACAAAGGCAAGCCTATCAGACTTACAGCAGATCTCTCAGCAGAAACCCTACAAGCCAGAAGAGAATAGGGGCCAATATTCAACATCCTCAAAGAACAGAACCTTCAGCCCAGAATTTCATATCCAGCCAAACTAAGCTTCACAACTGAAGGAAAAATAAAATCTTTTATGAACAAACAAGAACTCAGAGATTTTATTACCACCAGGCCTGCTTTACAAGAGCTTCTGAAAGAAGCATTACACACAGAAAGAAACAACCAGTATTAGCCTTTCTAAAAATATACCAAAAAGTAAAGAGCACCAACATAAAGAAGAATTTACACCAACGAATGGATAAAACAGCCAGTCAACATCAAATGGCAGTAACCCTAAATTTAAATTGACTGAATTCCCAATCAAAAGACACAGCCAAAACCCAATGGCATGTTACATCCAGACCTATTTCACATGCAAGGATACACAAAGACTCAAAACAAAGCGATGGAGAAACATTTACCAACCAAATGGAGAGCAAAAATAAATAATAAATAAATAAAAAGCAGGAGTTGCAAATCTTGTATCGGATAAAATAGATTTTAAAGCAACAAAGATACAGTGGTAAAAGGATCAATGCAACAACAAGAGCTAACTATCCTAACACCCAGATACATAAAGACTTAGACTCAATGAGACAGAAAATTAATAAGGATATCAAGGACTCAAACTCAGATCTGGAACAAGTAAACTTAATAAATATTTATAGAGCTCTCCACTTCAAATACACAAAATATACATTCTTGTCAATACCACATCACACCTACTCATAAGTTTAAATGAAACATTGATTGGCCATTATTAATACCCAATGTTTTTCAGAATAAAGCAATATTTCCATTTACTCTTCCTCTTTCTCTTCCTCTTTCTTCCTCTCCTTTACTTATTTTTTATTTATTTATTTTTTTCTTTCCTTCTCTCAAAAAAAGAAATCAACCTGTAAACATCTAGATCCAGGTCGGCAATGTCTCTCTCATTGCTTGATTTCCTTCCTTCCCTTTCCTCCCTCCCTCCCTCCCTCCCTCCCTCCTTCCCTCCCTCCCTCCCTCCCTCCTTCCCCCTTCTTCTCTTCCTTCCTTCCTTCATCCCTTCCTTCCTCCCTACTGTCCTCCTTCCCTCCCTTTCTGCCTTCCTCCCAAAAAAAAAAAAAAATTAAATAAGACATAATAATTGGAAAAGACATCCCATTTTCATGGATTAGAAGACTTAATATTGTTAAGAGATTTCAGTGTCAGCATTACCCAGTGATCTACAGATTCAGTGCAATCCCTATCAAAATCCCAGTAATATTTTTTTGCAGAAATAGAAAAATTCATTCTAAAATTTATAGAGACTCTGAAGGGACCATGAATAGCCAAAGCAGTCTTGAAAAAGAACAAAGTTGGAGGGCTCACACTTCCTGGTTTCAAAATTTTCGATAAAGCTATGGTGATCATCCGGCTTGTAATCTTAATACTTTGGGAGGCAGAGGTGGGTGGATTGCTTGAGCTCAGGAGTTCCAGACCAGCCCAGGCAACATGGTGAAACCCCATCCCTACAAAGAAAAGTGAAAAAAACAAACAAAAAACCCCCCAAAATCCCCAAACAACAGCAACAACAATAACAAAAAACAAACAAACAAAAAGCTGCAATAATCAAAACAATATGATACTGGCACAAAGAAATAGAAACCAGTGGAATAAAATACAGAGCCCAGAAAGAAACGCTGGCATATATAGCCAAATGGTTTTTGACAAGGGTACCAAGATCATTCAATGGGAAAAGGATAATCTTTTCAACAAATGGCATTGAGGCTATCCATGCAAAAGAATGAAATTGAACCTTTACATAATACCATATATAAAAATTAGTTCAAAATACATCAAAGACCTAAATGTAAGAGCTAAAACTATAAAGCTCTTGGAAGATAGAGTGAAAACTTTGTAACATTGGATTTGGCAATGATTCCTTGGGTATGACACCAAAAGCATAGGCAACAAAAGAAGAAATAGAGAAATTGGACTTTATGAAACTGTTTTGTGCACCTCTTATAGAATGGGAGAAAATATTTGAGAATCATATATATGACAAGGGATTACTATCCAAAATATATAAAGAACTACTGCAACTCAACAACAACAAAAAATCCCCAAACAACCCAATTAAAACATGGGCAAAGGACTTGAATAAACATTTCTCCAAAGAAGATAAATGGCCAATAAGCACATGAAAGGATGCTAAATATTGCTAATCATTAGGGAAATGCAAATCAAAACTCCAGTGATATACCACCTTACAACCATTAGGATGGCTATTGTAAAAAACAAAACCAAAAACAAATGTTTTTGAGGATGTAGAGAAATTGGAACTCTAGTGCATTGTTGGTGGGAATGTGAAATGGTATAGCCACTGTGGAAAGTGGTATGATGGTTCTTCAAAATTAAACCGGATTACCATTTGATCCAGCAATTCCACTTCTGAGTATCTATTCCAAAGAATTGAAAGCAGGGGTTTTAACAGCTGTTTGTATACCCTTGTTTGTAATAGCATTATTCATAATAGCCAAAAGGTGGAAGCAATCTAACTGTTCACAGATGGATGAATGGATAAACAAAATGTGATTTATCTATCTACACAGTGTAATATTCAGTCTCCAAAAGGAATGAAATTCTGATGCATTCTATATCATAGATGGATCTTGAAGACTTTATGCTAAATGAAGTAAGCCAGACACAAAGGGACAAATACTACATGCTTCCATCTGTATGAGAGATACTTAGAATAGTTAAATACAGGCTGGGCACAGTGGCTCATTCCTGTAATCCTCGGCCTTGGAAGGTCGAGGCTGAGACCAGGAGATTGAGAGCAGTCTGGGCAACACAGTGAAACCCCATCTCTACAAAACAATTGAAAAAAATTAGCCATTCATGGTGGTGCATGCCTGCAGTCCCAGCTACTCTGGAGGCAGAGGTGGCAGGATTGCTTGAGCCCAGGGGATCAAGGCTTGAGTGAGCTTTGATCATGCCATAGCACTCCAGCCTGGGTGGCAGAGTGAGATCCTGTCTCAAAAAAAAAAAACCACCACCAAAAATAAAAAAATAAAAAAAACAACTAAGTATATTTGATTCAGAGCCTGAGCTCTTAACCACTTTGCAATTCCGTTTACTATAATGGTCTCTTAATTGATATTCTGCCCCTGTGAGTTTTATCTTTTTTTTTTTTTTTTTTGAGACAGAGTTTTGCTCTTTCACCCAGGCTGGAGTGCAATGGTGAGATCTTGGCTCATGGCAACATTGGTCTCCTGGGTTCAAGCAATTCTCCTGTCTCAGCCTCCCAAGTAGCTGGGACAACAGGCACTCACTACCATGCCTGGCTAATTTTTGTATTTTTAGTAGAGATGGGTTTTCACCATGTTGGCCAGGCTGGTCTGGCCACCTCGGCCCCCCAAAGTGCTGGGATTACTGGCATGAGCCACTGTGCCCGGCCAAGTTGTATCTGTTTTGCCCACCATTGGCAGAGTAATACTCCAGGGACATATAGGAAGGGGTGAGGAGTCACTTACATTTCACGGTCAGCCTTATAGGGTCACTTTGGTTGACACTGATTGGGTTAGAGACCTCACAATAATACTGCCCAGCATCCTCCCTCTTGACAGGGTCTATTCTGAGGGTTCTGTTGTCCTGGAATAGCTTTATCCTCTCTGAGGATAAGATATTCTGGTTATTAAAGAACCACTTGATGGAGATTTCAGTGTCATTCGTGGAGCAGGTCAGGTTCACAGAGTCCTTGTCTTCCGTGACTGTGGTGCTGGTGGCTTGAACTTCAGGCTGTGCCACTTGATTTAGTTCTGTGGACAAATAGAGGAGAGAATCTACTGAGAATGGGCTTGGGGTCTACGCTCCTATCCCTGAGATCTTAGCCAGCTCTCAGGTCACACAGTGAGCTGGGCAAAGGTGACCAACCAGGGGATGGCCCTGACCCTCTGGAGAAGGTCAAGTATCTTTGTTCAGGTGATGATCTATAAGGAGAGGGCTGTACCTCCCTTCTGACCCCAGATCATCTCAGAGTGACCCCCTGCATATCTCTGTATCCCCACTTGGAATCCTCTTCTCAGCCCACGGGTCCAGCAACCTCATCATCAGGTAGAATGTTTTTCCCACTGACTTTTGTGTGACCTTTTCCTAGAGCTTTCTGTGATCAGGCATCCTTCCTATGACTGTAACCTTTACATACAAAAGGGAAGGTAGGTTTTTTTTTTCATTAAATAATTTTTTAGGGAATGAAGATATCCCAGTCAGTCTTCATGACCTTAGTATCTGGACAAGTTCCAATCCAAAGGATTTCTCACTCTAAAGAGGAGTTTTACTTCCTGGTCTGTGGGTAGAAGATCACAGTGAAGGAGATTCCTAGAGAGTAGTCACAGTGTTAACAGAAGATTGATATTCTTACCTTCTCTACAAATACACACTGTTTGGCACTGCCCATTTTCTCCCGTGCAGAACCCCTGTCGCTGAATTTCCTGATTTTTCCAAATGTGTGTCATTCTCTTACTCTGTACTACCACATGTGCTGTGTCCACAGCCTCATATAGCTGGTGACTTCAGAGCCACGGCAAGCTCAGGGACCCTGAGGCTCCCTCTCTTCCCATTTCCTTGCAGCATGATCCAGGGGAAGCTTTAGTGTTGACTGCCATAGTTTTTTTTTTTTTTTTTGAGACAGAGTCTCTCTCTCTTGCCAGGCTGGAGTGCAGTGGTGCAGTCTTGGCTCTCTGCAACCTCTGCCTCCCAGGTTCAAGCGATTCCTGTGCCTCAGCCTCCCGAGTGGCTGGGATTACAGGCACGGGCAACCACGCCTGGCTAGTTTTTTTTTTTGTATTTTTAGTAGAGATGGAGTTTTGCCATGCTGGATGTTGGTCAGGCTGGTCTCAAACTCCCAACCTCAGGTGATCCTCCCACCTTGGCCTCCCAAAATATTGTGAGCCACCATGCCCAGCCATTAACTGCCATCTTGATTTAGCCAGATTCACAACAGGTTACCTGGATAACTTCTCCACACACCCGCGTCCTACCCCAGATGGAGTCAGGGTAGGTAGCCAGTTACCAGGCAAGCCGCGAGCAGAGCAGGGAGCAGTGTCTGAGCTGCTCATCCTGATGAAGGGCATTTCCTTCTCTCATTTAGGGAAAACTAATATGAGCCTATTTCAAAACCTCACATATTCCTTGTATCACATGGAGTAGGTAAAAGAAGGTCAAGAAGTTACAGAAAGGGACATGTTCGTGACAGAAGCAACTTGATCTTGATGACCCTTTCTGCTTCCCACTCTGTGAAGCCCCTCCCACGACATGAGGCTTTCTGGGGCTGAGAGAACCCCATCCCCACATTCTAGGTTGGACCTTAGGTCAGCTGTGAGAAATCAGAAAAACAAAGGGAAGAGAGTCTGCAGAGATGAATTGGGAGGGTTCAGGGGAGAATTTGAACTTGCTTGTGCCCATTGGATACAGGCTAGAAAAGAAAATTTCTTCTCTGGTCCTATTTGAAAACCAGAGAGCTTATCCTCCAGAGCTTAGTGTTGATGCTCCAGGGAGCACTTACTAGAGACTATGATTGTCTTGACTGTGGTCCTGTTTCGGCCAGTGACTGGGTTAAGGGCGACGCAGGCATAGGATCCACTGTCATCCACAGTGATGTTGGAGATAAAGAGCTCTTGTGTGTTTTTCTGGAGTGATGTTCCATTGATAAGCCAAGAGTACTCTGCAGGTGGGTTAGAGGCTGCATCGCAGAAGAGGCTGAGATTTGCCCCTGGATAGTAAGAGGTTTTTGAAGGGGAAATGGTGGGGGTGTCCGGGCCATCTGGAGCAAAGAGAATAAAGCCACAGGTGATGTCATCAGAGGGAAGGGGAAGCTCCTGGTCTGGAGGAGGGCCACAGTGTTTCTCTCTACCAAGTCACAATCCTGAAGTCCCAACCAGACTTCCACTGTGTCCACTGAGACATTCAGCTGTTTCTCCCATCACAGGCTATGGACCCTGAGTCTCCCAGGACAGGAGCAGCCCCTCCCCACCTATTCTTGGTTCAGGCTGGGGCTGCCCAGGTTTGCTTGGGGCAGGAAGTCATGGCCAGCCTGTGTGTCCAGGGTTAAGGGTCTGCGTCCTTGGACCTGAGAGGGGCTGAGAGGCCTGGCCTCTAGCCTTGTGGATTTGGGCTGGCAGCCTGGGTCACAGAGGAACAGAAGATACTCACAGGTGACATTCAGTGTGACTGGGTCACTGCGGTTCACACTCACTGGGTTCTGTATTTCACACTCATAGGGTCCTGTGTCATTCCTTGTGACGTTGAGTAGAGTAAGGGTCCTGTTGTCATTGGAGAGCAACAGCCTGGAACTGACCGGGAGGCTCTGATTGTTCACCCACCACAAGTAGTTTGTGTTCTGAGCCTCAGTTTCACAGGTTAAGGCCACAACATCCTCGTCCTCCACGGGGTTGGAGTTGCTGCTGTTGATGTAGGGCTTGGACAGCTCCGCTGTGCAGATAACAGAGAGAAGATTGCCCTGTGTGCAACCTGTGATTCCTCCACAGGCATTTTTCTTTCTTCCTTTCTTTCTTTTTTTGGAGAAGGAGGCTTGCTCTGTCACCCGGGCTGGAGTGCAGTGGCGCTATCTTGGCTCACTGCAACATCTGCCTCCTGGGTCAAGCGATTCTCCTGCCTTAGCCTCCCAAGTAGCTGGGACTACAGGCATATGCCGCCATGCCTGGCTAATTTTTTGTATTTTAGTAGATACGGGGTTTTACCATGTTGCCCAGGGTCATCTCAAACTCCTGAGCTCAGGCAATCCATCTGCCTTGGCCTCCTAAAATGCTGGGATTACAGGCGTAAGCCACTGCTCCTAACCAGGCATTTTTCAGAGTTGGCATCTCCCCACCTCTCAGCCAACTGAAGTCCTTAAAAGCCCATGGCAAGTGTGTGTGTCATAAGACAGATGTACGACCATCTGAGGGCTCAGAGACTGTGAGGCCTCCTGCTCTGTGTGGGAGAAGCACAGACTTTCTCAAGTGTGAACTGGACAGCAGTGCTGGGTCGTGGACAGACACAGGACTGGGAGTAATAGCCCCCGGCACTTCTGGTTCTTTCCTTACTGGCTGACAACTGTGGACCTCACCTGGAACGTGCAGGTGCTGGGTCTCTTCCACCTTCACAGTCCTGCTTTGCCCCATTAGGTGTGTTTTCTCTGTGGCTTCCCTGTCTAAGGACATCCTAGAGATGGGTGATGATGGGACTTCCCATTGTCCTTAAACCCTGAGGATACTGTGCAGCCTGGTCTGGGACTGTATGTTTCTGCAGAAATAACACAGGGGACAGGCTGGGCACAGTGGCTCATGTCTGTAATCCTAGCACTTTGGGAGGCTGAGGCAGGTGGATCATGAGGTCAAGAGATTGAGACCATCCTGGTCAACATGGTGAAACCACATCTCAACTCAAAGTGTAAAAATTAGCTGGGTATGGTGGTGTCTGCCTGTAGTCCCAGCTACTCGGGAGGCCAAGGCAGGATAATTGCTTGAACCCAGGAGGCGGAGGTTGCAGTGAGCCAAGATTACGCCACTGCACTCCAGTCTGGACGACAGAGTAAGACTCCGTCTCAAACAAATAAATAAACCAACCAACCACAGGGGACACGGGGGCAAGCCTGGAGGTCAGTTCAGTCGTCAGGCAGCGGAACCACAAGGTGGGACAGTTTTTCCCAGGTGTCTGATGATGACTGACTTGAGCCAGTGACCCCTAAAGATAGAGTCCAAGGAATGATCTAGAAAAGAGTAAGGTGACAGGAGCTGCCTGGATTTAATGGCATAACTATGTTCCTTGTCTTTGGTCTTTACTGTCCCTTCTCCCCCTGAAAAGGGCAGGTGAGGATGCTGTGGATGTTTTTTGAATTATGTGGGGCTTTTGCAAATGCAGAATAAGCAACTGGTGGAATGGAAGGAGCATGAACTTGCTGAAAATTGGACCCTCGTGGACTGTGTGTGTTTGGTAGATCTGGGATATAAATTTGAGAAGTTAAACTCTTCCATATGTGAAAATCGTTATTAATACTCTGGATCTAAGACCCACTACTAAGAGGAATATTTCTCTAGAGAACATGATAAACTCTTAAACCAAGCTCTAAAGTCCAATAGGATCATGGTATGATCAAAGAAAAATGCTGACGTCAGTTTGAAATCAGCGACTCCTGGGTAGAGGGGACTCACAGGTCCTGTTAGGAAGACAGAACTTGTCAGAAGGGAGAGCTGAAGAGTCTCAGTTACATAAAGAGAGAAATGAAGCCATATGAGAAGTGATGTATGTTATGTTAGTAAATTTAGAAAGTTCTATGTTACAAATTCCTGTGAAGATTCGGGTGAAAAGAAGAGGAGCCCAAAACAGTCATGTGAAATGTTTTCTTCCTTTTCTCTCGACCTCAGGAACCAATTAGAGTTTGACCAAATTTGTCCAAATTGGGCAGAGTCTAAGTGAGATGACAGTGGCTGGTGCATCTTCCTGTCCAAGGGACCCCACCTTATAACAGTAGTGTCATTGTGAGGACGCAGATGTACATGGAATGGGTAGCAAACCCATCAGACAGCACCTGCCTGGCCAGCTCCACCTGGGGAAGGTCCCAGGAACCACTGGAGGATGTGAGCCCACAGCAGGATGGGGATGGAGTTGTGAGTCAAATGGGTGAAATGAGCCCATGGGCTTTGGGGACTGCAGACCTGTCATTCTACCTTTGACCCCCTGGTGAGTCAGTGTAGAGAGTGGATGGAGGAGTTGCTCATCCCTGTTTTGTGGCCTGTTCCACAGGTCGGCCTCACTGAGGGAAAGAACCCTGGATGGGGACACAGTGGAAGCTCGTTCTCCTGGTGACCTGGGGACATTGGTTCATGATGGAGCCTGGCAGGGGTAGTAGCTGCTCTGGCTGATTTCTCTGCCTTTCCTATTGCCTGGGAGGTGGGCCTGGCCAGTGTGAGTGGAAAGGGAACAGGATAGTCAGCCTTGTTAGAAGGAGTGTCTGGGGAAGGCCTAAGGGTGGAAGAATAATGGGAGAGGAAAATGAGGGCATGGAGAAGCAGAGAGAGTCAGAGATGCCCATGACAGTGAGCAGTGGGGGCTACGGTGACCTCAGAGACCCCAGCAACCAGGAGTTGGGAGTCCTGAAAACCTTCCCACAGCCGAGCAGCTCCAGAGTCACATGAGATGTGGTTCTTGGGGTGGCTTTAGGGGCAGATGGTCGGGGATGGAACATGGGTTCAGTCCCTGGAGGGATGAGGAGAGGTATGGCAAGAACCTCCTAGGATTCTGCAACCAGATCCGGTCTCTAAAGAGGTTATGGATCATTCATTCATAAGAGAACTACTGAGTGTATGTCTCATGTTGGACCCTGGCTGGTGCAGGGTGTGAGTGGAGAGAGAAAGCAAAGTCGTTTCCTTTATCCTCCTTTGGGAGTGATACCAACGCATCAGGAAACACAGGATTTCAAGTCCAGGGAGCAGGGGTGTGGGTCTTGATGGGATAGGCATGAATATTTCTTTTTTTTTTGAGATGGAGTCTTGCTCTGTCACCCAGGCTGGAGTGCAGTGGCACGATCTCAGCTCACTGCAACCTCCGCCTCCTGGGTTTAAGCAATTTTCTTGCCTCAGTCTCCCAAGTAGCTGGGATTACAGGTGTGTGCCACCACGCTGGTTTTTGTATTTTTAGTGGAGATGGGGTTTCACCGTGTTGGCCAGGCTGGTCTCAAACTCCTAACATCAAGTGATCTGCTCACCTAAGCCTCTCAAAGTGCTGGGATTACAGGTGTGAGCTACCACGCCCGGCCCAGGCCTGAACATTTCTGACACTGACTCTAATTGTTGAATAAGTTCCAGAATAAAACTTGGTTAATTCTCCATTTGCTCTTACTCCCCAGACTGGGATCTCCCCTCTGGACTGCAGATGCCTAAGAAGGAAGGAACCGAACCACTTCTGGTATTGGGGTTCACAGATGCCAAATAAGGCTTTGAGTAGAGGAGAGGTTGAGGCTGTGCTTGAAGACAAATCTCCTGTAACTCTGATCTGCCAGTTATGGGTCTGTGTGAACTTGACATAGTGATTGTATTACCATGTGGCTCAGTTTTCCCCCATAAAATAGTATAAATGGTAAATGATTTTGGCTTGTCTTGTGGTCTGTGAATTAACCTTAAAATATTTGTAATTATTTGACCTCAGCTCTGCACAGGGGAGTTGCCCAAATAAACAGCATCTATTTTTTTTTTTAATTTTTTTGAGACAGAGTCTCGCTCTGTCACCCAGGTTGGAGTGCAGTGGCGCAATCTTGGCTCACTGCAACCTCCGCCTCCCAGGTTCAAGTGATTCTCCTGCCTCAGCCTCCTGAGTAGCTGGGACTACAGGCAGGTGCCATGATGCCTGGCTAATTTTTTTGTATTTTTAGTAGAGACTGGTATTAGCCAGTATTTGTATTTGTATTAGCCCTGCCCAGGAGGCCACAGACTAGCTCTGGCACAGGCTCCTCAGGGTCACCAGGAGTCGGGAACCTTGGGATAGCTTTTTGGAGCAGGGGATTCCCAGGGCTGAGTTTCTCTGTGAGGATCCCAGAAGGCCCCTCAGGCCAGATTCTGACAGTCCTACTGGGTCTTTCTAGGGGACATGTTCACCAGGAAGGTCCCAGCAGGGCTAGATTGAGACTGATCTCCCCTTGATAAGTTACCTACATCAGACTGTCCTTCCCCTGAAGCAAACGTCTGCAGGATCAGGATTCCAGGGTAAGAAATTCTCTATTTTGATATCTGTCCCATAGTGTGTGTCCTGCACTAAATGCCCAAACCTTAACATGAGATGTAATACAGAGGGGGACACAGGCACAGCCTAGTTCTGAGAATCCCGTGTGTGGGAAGCAGAACTGACTGCAACACCCAGAGGTCATGGGGAAATACTCACGGTATACATGGAACTGGACAGTTGCTTCTTCATTCACAAGATCTGCCTTTATGACTTGCAGGGTGTAGAATCCTGTGTCATTCAGGGTGACGTTCCGGATCAGCAGGGAGGCATTGGAGTATATTACCTCTCGGCCGCTGTATGCGGGCCCTGGGGTGGTTAGTTGACTTGCTATCACATATCCTATAATTCGAACGGTGCTGTCCACTCTTTCCCCTTTGTACCAGTTGAAGCCATTCGTATTCTGGGGCACATTGTAGGTGAGTAGAAGAACCTCTTTCCCCTCTGCAGCATTGGATGGCATGGATTCAGTAGTGAGCTGGGCACTGGTAGGCAGGTTCCAGAAGGTTAGAAGTGAGGCTAGGAGACAGGAGACAGCATCAGTCAATATTAGGACCTGTGCATTGGGATGGAAGGATGGGGCCCTGGGTCCTGAGCAGGTCTCTTCATCCCTCCACCTTAGGGTGTGTATGTGTGTGTGTGTGTGTCCCACTGGGTCAAGGTCAGCAGAGGGACTCCCATTCCCTTAGTGCCTCTGACCTTGTCATTTCTCTGGAATGCTCTTCCCCAGGGGTCTGCACAGCTCCCTCCCCATTGCCCTCAGATCCTGCTCACATCAGGGGATTCTTGGGAGACCCCTTCCCTGACACCTCTTCTAGAGACCCTGGGTCTTCCCTTTCTGACCTTTTCCACTCTGTTCCCTCCAGGGCTCTTGTCAACACCTGACCTTATATTCTAGATCTTTTTGCGTGTCTATCTTCCTCCCTATGAAAGTGTGAGCTCCGTGAGGTCAGGGAGTTGTGTGATCTTGGTTGCACCGTTGTGTCTGGGACAGGCTGCGGACTCCTGTGGATCAGCTCATGAGCATTCCCAGAGCACTCCACGTCCTAGGGTTTATTTGCCAATGTCTGAGGTTGGTAACTCAGGGCTCTGTTTAATGCCTCTTTTAATTTTTTTCCCTTAATTGTCACACTGACTTAAATTGTGATTATTGTCATCAGCTTTTGAAAAATGTATTGCTCATGGATGATTCACTTGGAAAAGGTAAAAAAATGGGAGATTGTTTCTTCACTAACAGTTTCAGATCACAGAGACTTTCCTTTTATGATCTCTATCCCTCTTTCATGTCCTCTCTCCTATTTGGCTCCAAGGGAGGCCCTCTCTCCCCTCTTAGAGCCCAATCCTCCCCAGGAGACACCAGCTATTCTCTGTGCTCCCTCCTCCCACCCCATTCCCAGGGAGTCCTCTCCTTACCTGTGAGCAGAAGCCCCTGCCAGGGGACACACACTCTGTGAAGTCTGGCTGAGAGGTGCCCCATGGTGTCTGCTGCCTGCTCTGTCTTCACCTGTGTAGAAGAGCCTGGGCTCCAGGAACGCTTTGATCACAGCTGCTCTGACTGTCAGCTCTGCTGTTTTTCTACCCTCTGTGCTGAGCCTCCTCCCAGGGACCCAGAGCTTTGTCTGGTCATGTGTGCTGGGGCGGGGTTTGTGCCGAGGAAACTCTCTGTTTCCTCTCCTCTCATTCCTGCCTCTTGTCCTTACTTTCTCTTTCCCTTCTGTTTACATTTTGGTTTCACAGACCATACTTCGAGAATCAAGGCTGATGGGACCTCTGTCCCCATGAGGGGAGGAAGACTCCCCTGTCTCCAGGACTGACTGCTATTGTGTCCTGGCTTTGGGTCTCTTCAGCAGCACACAGAGAACCCTGGCATATCCAAATGTGCTAATTATTTCCTTTGAGACAGTGAGTTTCCAGGTCTCCTCATGTTCTCCAGTGCTCTGGGAAAGTAGGAAGATACCCAGCAGGAAGGTGACAGAGGTGGCTCTAGGGAATAGAAAGGGGCTTATTGGGGGATGACTGGGGAGGGACCAGCCCTCTCTCTGTAGTTTCACCAGGCAGGCCTCAGACCCAAGGACAGAGACCCAGGCCCAGGGGTCTCAGGCAGAGCTGCAGCTCCTGGGTGTGGAGGGAGTCCTGGGAAGAGAGGACTGTGGAGGAGGGAGGTAGGTATCTCTGGGCTCTGCAGTCCTTGGGGAAGGCTTTCGGGGCACCCTCCCTCTGCATGTCTGTTGGCTGAGCTGAGGCTCAGGGCCTGTCCATGTTCTTCCCGACTGTCCCAGGTGGATTCTGTTCTCTGTGAGGCTGACTGTCCTGTGGTCACTGCACCTTCCCCATGGGTGGTGTCAGGAGGAATGGGGAGCTACACAGGGTCCTCAGAGGACCCAGGAAGGGACAGAGCAAGTACGTGGGAGGGCCCAGAAGGGTCTTTTGGAGCAAGGGATGGAAAGTGGTCTCTACCTTCATCTCCTTAGCAAAGCCAGGTTCACAACCAGGGGAATCAATTTCCTGTGTTGTCTGTGTACAATGTCTCCCCCTGGAGAGCAAGACGAGACCTGCGGCCTTGTCAGTGGCTGCCCCAGGAATGCTGACCAGGGTCTACATGATGTGGGCTGGCCCTGACCCCTGGACAGAGGTGGGCTCTGACCTCCAGGCTTCAAGGTCAAGTCACCCCAAGTCCTGTTCACTGCGGATCCACAGGCTGCCCTATTCCATATAGTGCAGCCCAGGGAGATCCGAGAGAACTGTCCACCAGAATTGTCCTCCAACTTTCTCAAACCTCTGGGACAGATGGCTCCTTCTGAGACAGCTCATTCTCTCAGAAGGAACCATCTGTCCCAGAGGTTTGAGGAAAAAAAAAAAAAATGGCCCAGTGAGGTGTCTCTGGGGGCTTGAGAATGAAATCCTGTCATGTGGCAATGTGAATGGAACTGGAGAATGTTAAGTTAAATAGGCTAGGAACAGAAAGTTAAGCACCACATGTTCCTACTAGTATGTGGAACGTGAAAACAGTTGATTTTATAGAAGGAAAAAGTAGAACAGAGGATACCAGAGGCTGGGAAGGGCAGAGAAATGGAGAGACAGGGAAGATTTGTTAAAGGATATAAAATTACAGCTAGATAGGAGGAGGATTAAGTTCTAATGTTCTGTAGCACTGTAGGATGACTATAGAGTTTATTTACTTATTTTTTTGAGGCAGGGTCTTGCCCTGTTGCCTAGGCTGGAGTACACTGCAGCCTCAACCTCCTGGGTTGAGTGATCCTCCTGCCTCAGTCTCCCATGTAGCTGGAATTATAGGTGCATGCCACTACATCTGGCTAATTTTTCATTTTGTTTTTTCATTTTTTTTTTTTAAAGAGACAGGGTATCAATATTTTCCCAGGCTGGCCTTGAACTCCTGAGCTAAAGTGGTCTTCCCATCTAGGCCTCTCAAAGTGCTAGGATTACAGGCATGAGTGACCATGACAACCAAATATTTTGATATTTTTTTGTGGAGACTGGTCTCATTATGTTGCTCAGGCTGGTCTCGAAGCCCTAGGCTCAAGCAATCCTCCTGCCTTGGCCTTCCAAAATGCTGAGATTAGAGGTGTGACCCACCACACCTGGCCTGACTATAGTTAACAATAATATATAGTTCCAAGTACCTAGAAAGAGGATATTGAATGTTCCCAACACAAAGAATGCTAAATGTTTGAGATGATGGATATGCTAATTATCCTGACCTGATCGCTGTACCTTGTATGTATTACATTGCTATGGACCCATAAATAGGTACAATTATTATGTGTCAACTAAAAAAATACAATTAAAAAGTCATTTAGAGCTAAATCATGCTGTGACATTTTTTTTACCTCTCATCTCATGGCAAACAACACTTGGCAATGGCAAAACATGCTCAGGAGCTGTGGCTTTTTGCTTTAGTGCACAGACCAGCTTGTTTGTGAGAATGTGCTACCTAATCTAATTGAACCTACATGAGATCATCACCCTTCCTTGGGGACCTCAGAGAAGGACTCAGAACCTCTGGCTCAGGTATGTGGAGGAGGTTGCAGGCGAGCCACTTGCTGGAAGGAAGGCTGGTGGGCCGGGTTGGGGAGGAATTCATTTGTGGAGGCCACTAGATGGGGCCACCAGGGCCTGGGTGAAGAGGGCCTGAGGGCACAGGACCCAGGGGGAGAGAGAAGGTGGTCCACGTTGTCATGCAGGCAAGTGCTTCAAGTGTCTCTTGACTCATTCATGGCAGGCAACTCCACTGTAACATAGCAACTCAGCAAATAAAATGAGGATATTGGCTGGGTGTGGTGGCTCACGCCTGTACTCTCAGCACTTTGGGAGGCTAAGATGGGAGGTCAGGAGTTCAAGGCCAGCCTGGCCAACATGGTGAAACCCCATCTCTACTAAAAATACAAAGATTAGCTGGGCATGGTGGCACACACCTGTAGTCCCAGGTACTTGGGAGGCTGAGCCAGGAGAATTGCTTGAACCCAAGAGGTGGAGGGTGCAGTGAGCTGAGATCTTGCCACTGCCCTCCAGCCTGGGCGACAGAGTGAGACTCCACTTCAAAAAAAAAAAAAAAAAAAAAACCAACATAAGGATAGATCTTTATGACCTCAGATGTGGCAATGGGCTTCTTAGATATGGCACAAAAACATGAAAAACAAAAGGAAAAATAAATAAACTGGACTTTATCAAGATGAAAGCCTTTTGTGCATCAAAGACATTATCAAGAAAGTAAAAAGATCACCCACAGAATGGGAGAAAAAATTTGCAGACCATTATATGAATAAGGTTTTTTTTTTTTTTTTTGGGTGGGGAGGAAGGCAGGAAGGAAGGGAATAAGGACAGTAGGGAGGAAGGAAGGGATGAAGGAAGGAAGGAAGGGAGGAAGCGGGGAGGGAGGGAGGGAGGGAGGGAAGGGAAGAAAGGATATCAAGCAATGAAAGAGACATTGCCGACCTGGATCTAGAGGTTTACAAGTTGATTTCTTTTTTTTTTTGAGAGAAGGAAAGAAAAAAAAAATAAGTAAAGGAGAGGAAGAAAGAGGAAGAGAAAGAGGGAGAGTAAATGGAAATATTGCTTTATTTTGAAAAAAATTGGGTATTAATAATGGCCAATCAATGTTTCATTTAAACTAATGGGTAGGTGTGATGTGGTATTGACAAGAATGTATATTTTGTATATTTGAAGTGGAGAGCTCTATAAATATTTATTAAGTTTACTTGTTCTGGATCTGAGTTCGAGTCCTTGATATCCTTATTAATTTTCTGTCTCATTGAATCTAAGTCTCCTATCTGGGTGTTAGGATCGTTAGCTCTTGTTGTTGCATTGATCCTTTTACCACTATATCTTTGTTGCTTTAAAATCTATTTTATCCGATACAAGAATTGCAACTCCTGCTTTTTATTTATTTATTACTTATTTTTGCTCTCCATTTGGTTGGTTAATCTTTCTCCATCCCTTTGTTTTGAGTCTTTGTGTATCCTTGCATGTGAAATAGGTCTGGATGTAACATGCCGTTGGGTTTTGGCTATGTCTTTTGATTGGGAATTCAGTCAATTTAAATTTAGGGTTACTGCCATTTGATGTTGACTGGCTGTTTTATCCATTTGTTGGTGTAAATTCTTCTTTATGTTGGTGCTTTTTACTTTTTGGTGTATTTTTAGAAAGGCTAATACTGGTTGTTTCTTTCTGTGTGTAATGCTTCTTTCAGAAGCTCTTGTAAAGCAGGCCTGGTGGTAATAAAATCTTTGAGTTCTTGCTTGTTCATAAAAGATTTTATTTTTCCTTCAGTTGTGAAGCTTAGTTTGGCTGGATATGAAATTCTGGGCTGAAGGTTCTGTTCTTTGAGGATGTTGAATATTGGCCCCCACTCTCTTCTGGCCTGTAGAGTTTCTGCCGAGAGATCTGCTGTAAGTCTGATAGGCTTGCCTTTGTGGGTAATCTGACCTTTCTCTCTGGCTGCCCTTAGTATCCTCTCCTTCATTTCAACCCTGGTGAATCTAACGATTATGTGCCTTGGGGTTGCTCTTCTTGAGGAATATCTTTGTGGTGTTCTCTGTATTACCTGGGGTTGAATGTTGACCTGCTTTGCTAGTTTAGGAAAATTTTCCTGAATAATATCCTGAAGGGTATTTTCCAGCTTGGATTCATTCTCTCCGTCGCATTCAGGTACACCTATCAAACGTAAATTTGGTCTTTTCACATAGTCCCACATTTCTTGGAGACTTTGCTCATTCCTTTTTATCCTTTTTTCTCTAATCTTTTCTTCACGTTTTATTTCATTAAGTTGGACTTTGACCTCTGATATCCCTTCTTCGGCTTGAACAATTTGAGTGTTTAAACCTGTGCATACTTCTCGGAGTTCCTGTATTGTATTCTTCAGTTCCATTAATTCACTCATACTCCTCTCTAAGTTGTCTATTCTCAATAGGATTTCATCAAACCTTTTTTCAAAGTTCCTAGTTTCTTTACGTTGGGCTACAACATGTTCTTTTAACTCACCGAAGTTTGTTATTATCCATTCCTTGAAGAGTGATTCTGTCATCAGGAGGCGCTCGTTCTCCATCAAGCCTTGTTCCATTGTCGATGTGGAACTGTGATCATCTTTAGAGGGAG